GTTCCCATTGGAACGGATTATCAGGTTTTCAATGCATCTCTATGGGAAAACGCGTTTCGTTTAGCAATGTTTTCCCATAGCGATGAATTTTTTGGAACCAATTAAATTCGTTAAGCGAGGCAGCACTGTAGTCCTAACTGGTTTTCTGAATTTCTAGACTGAGATGGATTTTGATTCACCACAGGCTCAGCTGGCTTGTTGTCCCCTTAATCAGCCCTCCTCCATCTTGGATAGTTAGAATTGTCCCCTTATGTGTATCCCTTATGAGTATATGTGCCTATGAGCTAAAGCAGTGATGGCGAACCTATGGCACGCGTGCCACAGCTGGCACACACAGCTCTCTCTGTGGGCACACGAGCCATAAGTCGCCATAGAGAAATACTTACCGATCCTGGATTGTGGCACTCCCCTCTGCTGGTGCAATAGCCCAGCAGAGGGGGACAATGGCGACCATTACTGGTCTAGCCCAATGGGGGATTGGAGGACTGGGAAGTATTTCTTTCTTAATACTGCCCATAGGGAAAGGGAAGAAAAGCATTTAACCATTGCAGTGCAGGAGCAGTTATTTTTTTCTAAACTAAACCTTCGGGTTTTAATTGCAGTATTGGCACTTCGAAATAAATAAGTTGATTTTGTGTTGCAGTTTGGGCACTCAGGCTCAAAAAGGTTCACCATCACTGAACTAAAGGATAACCGTGCAACGTCTAGTGAAGTAGGGTGTAATCCACAAATCACGTAATAAAGTTTGTTAGCATTTAATACATTGTAACTCATCATCATCATAGTAATAGTAATTCCTTAGATATACGTACCAGACTCATATCATGATACAATCATGTTCAGGATATATTAATTAAATAGGAATTTGTGATATAAACATCAGAACAGAAATGACCTGAGAAATTTACTCAAGATGCTGGATATAATATGCAACAAAAATGTTGAGAATGCACATTGTACAGTGCTATGTATTCTCGATTCTACTATAGCATGGAATTTAGGATTTTAAAAGAGGCCATCAAAAAGAAGAGAGAACCATCTAAAAAGTGGCGTTGTTGCAGGATGTTAAGAAGTTCATGGATCTTCTTTGTAAACTGTAAAGAAATATTAATATAAATAAATGAGAGCCAAGAAATCTTAAAATACATATAGCACAGAAGAATGGGATATTTCAGTCATGTAATGAAAAATAAAAAATACAGCTTGTTACAGCTGAACATTCTAATTAGAAGAAATAAAAGAAATGCAGGAAGGAGAATTCTTGGTTGAAGAAACTTGGGAACTGATTTGGATGAACACATCATTATTTTTTAATGCTGCTGCATCAGAGTCAACATGGCAATGCTGATGCCCAGTCTTTGGCAGGAAAGAAAAGGGAGGAGGGGAAGGGAGAAAAAGAAGAAATCCAGTTCAGAAATGGCATTTCATCTTGAAAGTACCTCAGCTATGATTCTGTGCCAGAGGTATCTCCAGTTCCCACATACACACACAAATATACCCTTAGTGATTATCATTCAGAGTTTAAAATGCTTTGAGCCAGGTTTCCTTCTGACTACCTTAACCTATCCACATTAAATCCTCTTCACAGGTGATGCTCTGAAGATGCTTTCACTACCATTCCCAGAACCCTTTGCATGTGCAGGCTGTGACTGGTGTGAGTTGCAGTCTAAAACATCTGAAAGGGCACCAATTTAGAAAGGGCTACTTTAACACACCATCATCGATCTTGGGGGGCAGGAGAGAGTTGGCCAAATACACTTTTCTCGTTGTATCCACAAGCTGAAGACCATCTCTATCTGTGCTTAAAAACAAACCAGTATCCTTCAGCCTAGCAATCAGAAGGGCGATGAAGTCATCCTGGGTACTTCTAGATAGCTCATCTTAAGCTATAGTCTGTGTTGAATAGGGCATCAGCAAAGCGTTGGCTCTCTATACATAGATGACACTTCAGAGCCACTTCGTGACTCTTTGTCTGAGGCTGGGCTGCAGCACTGGGGAATGTGGAGCAACTGCCTGGAGGCAATCAAGCGCTTCTCAAGTGAAAATTGCTGACAGACAGCTGAACAGCACAATTTGTTGCTTTGTGTTCATTGTGAGTGTGCAACTGGCGCTCCTGCTGTCTGAAATAATTCATTGTTTTACAACTGTGCACTCAGCTGTCTCTTCAGTTTAAATAAATGTGCAATATTAATTCTACTAGGAGGGGTCTTGAGCAAAGGAACTCTCCAAAATACCCATTTAAGTTCTCAGTTTTCCTTCTTTTCTTTTTCTCCTTGTGAAGTTAGAGGAAGTAGCCTATCACGTTTCCATTTTAACCCTTTTACACTGGCTGTTGGTATGCCTATATGAGTATTAGAAAACATGCCTCTTGTGTTAGAAAAGGTCTTTCCAAAGCAAGGCATTTTGCTTAAACAATCCCGTAAAAGTCAATATGGTGCATGTTTGAAGAAATACCATCAAAAAGGGACTTTAAAAGAAAAGAGAGATAGTTGCCCATTGGGGGGAAATGGTGTGCATGCATCATTGTGAACCTCTGCTACAGCGCTTCTCTGATAGCAATTCAAAATGATTTAAATATAGTACACCAAGGACACTCCAGAATAAAATTCTACGCTGCATCTAAGTACAGGCCAAGCACAGTACTGTAATATGATAACCTGAAGACCACGTACAGTGGGGTCTTGACTTAAGAACGGCTCGAGTTAAGAACATTTTGACTTAAGAACCACTCTCATAGGAAAATATTGACTTGACTTACATACTTAGATTTGAGTTAAGAACTGAAAAAAAAACCACGTGGGAGGCATGGAAAGTGCAAAATGTGAACTTTCAGTTAACTGTTGGCCAGTGAAAAGGGTGCCTGTCTGCTTCCTCACTCTTCCCAGCGTTTAGAGAGAGGATTGGGAGACAGTCTTTGGACTGCCTGGTACTGCCTGGACTGTATTTTCCCTGCCTTCCCTGAACCTTTCTTGACCTAAGAAAAAAAGAAACAAAATATCCCCCTCTAGTGGTCGAAGGCAGAATAGCAGCTTCCCATTAGTTTCTATGGACGGAAAAGAGCAGATACGGATCAAATGGTTTTCAATGCATTCCTATGGGAAACGCAGATTTGACCTGAGAACTTTTTGACTTGAGAACCGCCTTCCAATACGGATCATGATAACCTGAAGACCACGTACTGTACTTGTTTTGCATTTTCTGTGCTGCATAATCAGTCTTCACTAGTTTTAATTGCCCATTTTATATTTTAGATAAACAAGAAGTCTTCTAATACTAAAATGCTTTCCTTTTTGCATATTACAGCAAAACAACCATACAAGGAATAAATCGGATATGGTTTTGTAATTTCTTTTCAAAATGTACTGAAACAAACACTATAGGAGAGTGACATGGATGCTTTTGAGAAGAGGATATATTTAAGTTTGGACTTCAAGAGGTGGCTTTTAAGTACAATAAAACTGAATATTGAGGAGGAAGACTGACATCTTTAAAACCTGGCCTGTTACACTTTTTGTGAGGAAAGCTTGGGGCAGGGCTTATGCTGCTCCTGAATGGAACTGTGATGAAGTGGAAAAGGTCGGAATTGTCCTGGCAGGATAAGATTGCAGAAGAATGTCATTGAAATGATTGCTAGAAAACGCAAATGTAAGAGTCTGGTAACTTACAGTTCAACTAGGAAGCATTTGTATAAAGTCTTTTTATTAATCACATGGTGGAAAGCTGTCTTTTGAGAAACTAATCTGTCGGGGGGAAATGGTGAAATGATTGGCCCTTCCTTTGTGCTAGGTGAGGCTTAAAGCATGTGGCTGCAGTCCCTTTTCTGCCACAGCCCATCAGAAGATGAAAGAACTCACCAAAAAACTCTGGATATGGGGAGGGCGGAGAGAGAGAGCCTCTTTCATTGTGTTGTCTATCAAAGGTCCCATCCCTAGATAAAGCATAATTGTAGGAGGCAACGGCTCTTACTGAGAAGCTGTTTCACTTCGGTTTTCAGTCATTTTGTAAACTGTTTGGAGACATTTAAAGCAGGGCACAAATACAATAAACAAAATGAAAGAATTCATACAGTCATACAAGAAAAAGCAAAAACAGAACATAAGAGACTACACAAATTATGCAAACTAAAATCAAAATCAAATCTGACTTGGGGGGGGAAATAGTCCCCAAATTTCAAGAGCGGTGGCGGTGGTAGTTAGGGGTAATTAAAAAAACAAAAATCAATGTTTAGTAACACTACTGCTAAATTGACACTGAGACCACCACAGAGATGTAAATGAACAACAGATATGAACAGTAAACAAAGTTAGATTTGGAAAAGATTAGAAGAAAAATGATTGATGCTTGAGTATCCATAGAATAAAGGAAATACAACCTGCAGTGAAGAGCAAATTGCCACCAAACTCATTATTGTAAGAACATTCCTGGTGCTAACAGCACCATCTTCACTATATCTTCCCTGGAGCACTGTGATTGGAGTATGCAGGTGAGATTTTTGCCCCTGATTGCAAGTTAGCGCTGCCAATAAGCAGCCCCCTTATCTACCACCACCACCCCCTTTTTGTTTTCCTTTTTTGCCAAGTCACTCTTGAGTCAATTCAGGCCTTGCACATGTCATTAGGTTCAATTCTCACTTGAACTGGTCACACAGTCTTCATTTCTCATAGAAGAGAATGTTCCGTATACAATGTACTGGCAAACATATTTTTTGTACCAGCCCCATTTTTCAATGTATGTGATAGTGCACAATTTTGTTTATTTACTTCATTCATTTAGTTCAGCAACAGAGTACACTGAAGTGAAGATAGGATATCCGGAATTGCAGGTGACAGCAGGAAAGATGTAGGTATAAATCTGTTCATAATCAGATGTTCTTATGTTTTGTTCTTGCATGTTTCAAAGGGATAGAGACTTGTGCAGCACCCAAAATTATAGACAGTAAAATAACAGGAAAGATGTTCATAATCAGATGTTCTTATGTTTTGTTCTTGCATGTTTCAAAGGGATAGAGACTTGTGCAGCACCCAAAATTATAGACAGTAAAATAGAGGAAAGTTCAGAAGTTCCTATTTTAGAAGACACATCATCTTCACCAATAGATATCCAACAACATTTATGGCAGGTTTCCACGGACATTGAAAACACAGAGAGGTATGTACCTTTGTAGTATTCATAATGTGAGCTAGTTAAACCTGGTTATTCCATTTTAGTCATGATACTGCATATGATAGTAGTAACTTCTTTCTTTTCATCCCCTGTCAACGAGGAAAGTGTACATGCCCCAGCACACACAGATGCGCACATGTATGCACGCAAGTGCACAGATATACACATACTGGGTACATAAATTCATTCCTTCACTTCCCATTCCATAAATAGACAACTGTTGCTGACCATGTAAGGCCATTCGCCTGTATGTAACTCTCAATGCTTAACTAGGGGAGGGGAAGGGAAGATAGTAAAAAATGTGCATGCTAAGAGTTAATGGCCTGAGATATTCAGTGGAGTCTAGGGATCCAGAATCATCACTTGCATTCATATCCATTTGTAACACAGGACAGAGGCCAGTGTTGGGTTCTGCTAAGGGAACAGAATCTGATGAAAACAGAAAAGGAGTCTGTTACTGAAACAGTTCTCCCTTTCTGCCTCAGTTCTCTGTGCACCCCCAGAATCTGCTCCAGAGGAATGCAAAACCCTCCGGGCCAGTTTTCAGGCATTTCTAGGTACTCCAGGGAGAATGGGAAAGGATGCTTTCAGAACACCTGCACCACATTTGATTTATGCCCTAATTCTAGATATGGTAAAAATTTATTGACACCTAAGCGATACCAACACTTGACAGTGTTGGAGCACAGTGACGTTATGACACTTGACAAACTGGTTATGTGTGTATATATAACTTATATATATGTACATGTCCATGCCAGCCAAATTTGTATCAGTTCTGCTTCACAAAATCCTGGAACTCCAGGAATACGTATGCCAGCCTATAAGTTATCAAATTTAACCCTTTTAATCTTTTTGACATTTCATACATTATATCACAACAAACCCAAAGAGTACAAGTCAAGAAGGAAATTAATCCAAGCCCACTGCAGATCAGAATATTTGCTAGGAATTCCCAAGTGTTACTGAGCCTGCTCACACAGAGAAAGCCATCTAAAAATCATATTTTGTGAAAATACGTTATTTCAGTATTTGATAAATTGTACCATCGTGCTATATGTTATGTACATTTTAACTTAAATGTAATTTATTAATTATTAATAAAATATTCAAGACAGATTACAGTAAAATAAAAATGCATGACCATTTGAATCCCAAGAGTAATCTAAAAGCAGCATTAGAAATCATTAGAGCTAGAAGTACATGACCATTCTTTGGAATAATGCTACCGTTGTTAGTTATCCAGCAGGAGCGGGAAACATATGGTCTTTCAGCTATCATAGGATCTACTTCCCATAAGCTCTAGCGACCATCCCATCCCCTTGGTGGAGCTTGAATTTCAACAATATGCTCATGGCCACTGATTCTCTACTTTCCCAAATGATGATTGATTCAAGTAGACGTCCTTTGGGAAGCTGTTGCAAATTGTGAGAGCCACAGTTGAAAAGGCTCTGTTTTGGATACCCATAATAGACAACTGGTAATAGATACAAAAATCACAGGAGCAAAAAGATTGTTTATGTAAATTGCTTTCACTTAACCCCTGCTTTGCTTTCTGTAGCATCTGCTGCAAAGTGGATGCTGAAGAGCATCTCCAAAAGAATGCAGAAGAACTTGCAGATGTCTGCTGAATATAAATAGATGACACGTATTATTAATCTTGGCAGTTCACAGTTCCTGTTGCTTGAATTGTTATTGCTTGATCACGTCAAGAAAAATGTAATGATACTAAAATTCCAAGTCTTAAATTATTAGAACTACATCATCTGTCTATTAAACATAATGTTCTGGATTTCTTTTTAAAAAGTAAACCCTTTTGTCTTTGCATAGGACTTCTCTTATAGTCCCAAACAACAGAATAGATTTTTACCTGTGTTTAAGTAATATTTGTTCTCTTTGATCACTCTCTGCTTCATTCCTATAGGGACATGAGAGAAATGAAAAACCTTTTAAGCAAACTCAGGGAGACTATGCCTTTGCCACTGAAAAATCAAGGTAGGTTGTTCTCTTTGTGTGTACTAATGAGATGTTTAAGTGGTGAGTTCTAATTTCTTTCAACAAAGGTAAATTAATTCCTTGTAAATCATTAGAGTAAAACGGCTTCACTGTCTCCCGTTCTTGCATCTTGTTCCTCTTTGTCAAAACTCGCTCTGCATTGAAATGAATGAGTTGTCCAGGAAATTTCATATTTAAATTCCCTCTAAACTTTTACTTTGTTTATGCAAAGAAATACTATGTGAAGTAGTACTTTGTTTTTCTATTATGAATCTCCCACCGTTCATTTTTATTGTATGACTCTGTGTTGTAGCAATCATTATGGTATACAGTCCTGTGACATCTTAAAAGGTACCAGATTTATTATAGTATGAACTTTTGTGGAATGTAGTTGACTTTATTAGAAGCATAAGAGTCACCAGGAATTTTGAATATGCATATAGTACACATGGTTGGGGTGGCATGGTCGATAATGAGGTCAAAGGGAGATCAACTAAGCCTTGGACAGAGTGTCTCATGATATTATGATTAGCAAATTAACTAGGTGTGGACTAGGGAGAACAACTATCAGGTGGATACACAGTTGGTTGCAGAATCATACTCAGAAAGTACTTAACAATGTCTTCTTCTTAAACTGGGAGGAGATAAGTTGAGTACCATAAGGCTCAGTTCTGAGCCCACTGCTGTTCAACATTTTTATTAATTACTTGGATGAGGGGGTGCAGGGGATGCTTATCAAATTTGTGGATTACACAAAATTTGGTGGAATAGCTTGAAGACAGAAATAAAATTCAATCATCATCTTCTTAGAACTGCAGAGCTGGAGGGGATCCTATGGATCATTGAGTCCAGTCTCTGTGAAGGAGGCACAGTGGGGAAAACTCCCAACCCCTGGATCCACAGCCAGATGCCTAAAGCACTGAGCTATCCAGCAGGCTGCATTAACAGAAGTATAGCCTTCAAATCCTGAGAAGTAGCAGCTCCTCTCTCTTTGGCACCGATTAGGCCTCATCTGGAGTACTGTGTCCAAAAAAGACCTCGATAGGCTTGAACTCTGGGCTGAAAACAACAAAAGGAAATTTAAGAAGAATAAGTGCAAAGTTCTCTGCATAGTTACAAGATGGGAGATATTTGACTTAGTAATGCTATAAGCAAGGAGGATCTTGGAATTGTTGTAGATCACAAGCTAAATATGAGCGAACAATGCAATGTGGCTGCAAGAAAAGGCAAAGGCTGTTTTAGACTGCATTAACAGCTATATCCAAATCCTATGAAGAATATCTTTTTTATTGTATTTTAATTGTTGTAAGCCGCCCAGAGACCTTTGGGTAGTGTGGGCGGCATATAAGTTAAATAAATAAATAAGAACCCTTTTGGCAATTCTTTGCAACACCTTGCCTTACATTCTGCAATGTGATTGCTAATAGGTAAGTGAACTGACACATACAGGCTGAAATCCTGCAATGTAACTGACAGCATTTAAGGCTGATGACATCATAAGCCACGGCATTTTTTTAAATTAAAAATTTCCTGTTACCTCTCCTGGAGATCTTGAGGTTCCCTTGTTCTTTGCCATGAAGTCAGAACTGACTTAAAGTGACCCTTTAAGGAGTGGTTTACCAATTCCACCCTCCTGTGAGATTCCACAAGAGAGCGGAGACCCAGGTCTCTTGAGTCCTGGTCCATCACTCTACCCACTACACCGCACTGGATATCTGAGGCTCCCATGGGATCTCTTTAATCATGTGGAACCCGCTGGAAGCCTCAGGCTGGAAGAAGGAAATTACTAATTTCCAAAAATCGCCACTGCCAGGATGACCTCACTGGTGGCAATGATTTTCAGAATTAGAGCCCTATCCCATGGTTTACAGTGGCTTCCCCATGATGAAAGGGGTCCTAAGGAAGCCTTGGGAACTTCAGGGGAAGGAACTGGAAATCTCAGTTTCCAAAATACCGTCACAGCTGTTGGTTTCATTAGCCTTATACAGTGTAAATTATGCTACTGGATTTCAGCCATAGTGTAATTAAATTCCCTTTAAGTTGATGCCTTTGCTGTGTTTTGTTATGTGCTGTCAAGTTGCTTTTGATTTATAGCAACCCTAAAAGGGTTTTCAAGGTACATGGGAAGTTGAAGGTATGGAAACTAATGGGGAGGCAGGAAGCACGGTTGCTGCTCCCTGCCCCCATCCCCATTAATTTCCATGGCCAAATGGGGATTTGAACTCAGTTCTCCTGACTCCTAGTTGAGCACACTCTCTGCTACCCCACACTGGCTCTAGTATTTTTATTAGGCCAATCAAAAAAGAAAGAAAAAAGGTCACAACAGCTCTCAGGGCTATCATACCCCACTGTTGCTAGGTCAGGCGAAGCAGGTCAGGCAAAGTGTTGCAGAAGATGATGTGCAGAATATATGCTCGATTGCAGCTCTGCCCAGTTCTAACCATTCTGTATGTTCTTGTTTTTTTTCCTTTGTTTGTTTGTCGTTGGTTTTAAATTCCAGATGATAGCAGCCTCCTCAACTTGACTCCAACTCCTTATCCACTAGTGCGGAGACGGAAGCGACGATTCTTTGGACTGTGCTGTCTTGTCTCAAGCTAGATGACCCAGGACTGAAGTACACACAAATGACCACAGCCAATACAATTTGACCTTTATCGGGATAAACCTAAATGCTCTAAGTGATAACATATGTTTTCTACACACCCTAATTATACTTCTTCCCTCCTTTTCAAGAGTTTTACAATTTGTTGCTAACAAGAACCAAATCTGGAATCTAATTTAACATTATTAAAAATATTTTTAACCTTTTTTTAATGGCATACAGCATGTCTGTGTTAAACCATTCTGTGATCAGATGCAAATATGAAATAAAACATGCAGAGTTTTTTTTAATTTTGTGTACAAACCACAACCAATTGTGTACAGTACAATAGTATGACTGTAGCTCTTGCTAGTATGATGTTAAAACTATTTGAACATAATCTATTAAGCAATCTTAATCCATAGAAAACTATTTAGAACAGCAAATCTGTGCTTAAGTTCTAAAATGCTAAAAAAATAAACCAAGCCAATATTGTAAGAGAATATGCACAAACTCTCCTATTGCTTTTTGTGCTCTCGTTCATATTTAGTCTTCCACTCTATATCTCAACTTATACAAATCTTCATAAATACAATATCTTTATTTCTAATACACAAGCAACATAACATCAATATGTTGTTCCTGTAAATATAATAGTTATATCTACATATTGTACAATGCCTAGAAATAGCTAATTTACTTTTTAACACCCTCCCCCCAAATGTATCTATTTCAATTTGGGAAGAAAGGATTTCAAGTTTTAAAAATGGTGTAGGAAACTATAAAATCCACAGATGTACAATGGATTATCCCACTTGTTTCCATTAAAGGTTGGAGCATGGTGTCTGAACATCAACTTAGTGTTATCGCTTTTAGGGCATGCCAGAAGTAGCTCTAACTGTAGAATATTAAACATTTTACATTGTTAATAAATATTTTTTAGTTAAACAACATGTCTCTGTAGTAATAACTGTATTGCTAAATATGATATATGGTTTCCTCAAAACCCCGTTTGTACAGCTACTCTATCATAGAACCACTACATGAACATTCTTGGCCCAGGTTCTGTTTTGCTTCCCTGCCATCAGTGCAAACCACTGAAAGGATGAAAGGGAAGTTTCAAGTAAAGAAGTACCATAGAACCCCTTATCTGTGGAAGCAGTATGTGCTGATTCGCTCATCTGCAGTCTGAAAATATTAAAAATATTAAAGAAAAATCCTAGAAAAATATATTTCTAAAGATGAAGTTACCAGAACTCATCACTAGAGGGACTGAGAGACCATGCTATATATAGTGCTCACTATTAAAATAGTGTCCACTATAATCTGTGTTTTTCAGCATTCAATGGGGGGCTTGGAACCTATCCAGCATGGGTACGGGGGGGTCCTACTGTAATGAAAGTTGGAGTGCCGCTTCCTCCTTCACACCCTGTATATGTAACAGATGCACACACACTACTTTGTTCTTTCATGGCAGCAAATGTGAGCCTTGCAGAGGGAGGGAGCTGAAAATGGAGAACAGCTTGGATACTGCAAATTGCAATCTTTGGATTTGCATCTGTTCCTCTGACATCAACACTTCCAAATGGGGATTTTTTTTTGCCAGATGTCAAGGTCAGGCTCAAAAAAAGAGTACTGGAGTGTGTGTATTGTATTCTTTTGTTTATGTATTACATCTTTTACAGAACCAGTGTTATCACTCTGAAAAAGCAGACTAATGCACCATGTTTTAGTTTGTGGAAAACTCTGGCCTTTTCCTCCAAGCCCTAAGAGAGAGAGAGAGAGAGAGAGAGCCAGGAGCAGGGATGGAAAACTCTGGCCTTTTCCCCCAAGCCCTAAGAGAGAGAGAGAGAGAGCAACTGATTTGAGCCATAGGAGGGATGTTATCGCCACACTCAGCCAATGGTTTGAGGCTGAAGCTGCTTCACTCATCCTCTGCCTTCCCTGAATATGTAACGGTCTGAGGTAACTCCCACAGCCAAGGATTCCTGTTGGAAAGGTAGGATAAGCCTTTTGTGCTTTGCCTTGCACACAATTAAAAAAAGCATTCTCCTTACAGGCACTCCATTCCTATACGGATTGTGCCAAAGGGAAAGAAAATGTTGTACACTAACAGCCAATAACAGCCATAACCCTTTGTTCAAGAGCATGAACTCTCATGTGTTCACCTCACAGGGAAGAGGTGTAGAGAGATGTGGCCTCTGAACCCATCTTCCTGGGCAGATTCCAAGTGTCCACCACCACATGTTGCATATATGTAGTTTTTTCCTACAGTCTACTGAGATTCTCCCGTCCCTCATCCATATTAGTGAGATTTTCTGGCGTGCCATGAAAACAATAACCCACTTTCCCTTTTGTGGTTATTCATTCTCTCCCCACCCCCATTACTCTGCGCAGGAAACTGCCAATTCTATGCAACTTAATGCCCTTTCTGCTGAATTCTACATAGGAAGGATGCCATTCTGCACAGGACCTAAACCATCCTATTCAGCTTTGTGTTTCTTGGCCCCTTTCCAGGTGAATCCTATCTGGAAAACTTGCCAGACTTGTAATAATTCTGTGCAGGTTGGTGGTTTTGAGGTTTGTTTGTTTGTTTATAAAACTTAGCCAAAAAATCCTCTGAGATCTCCTGCACCTCACAATTTCACTTGAGAAGAAAGAAGCTTTTTCCCCCCATTCAGTTTCACCACAAAAGTGAGAGGATGTAAGAACCCCACTCCTACTCTGGAGAAAGAGAGTAAACTTTTCTCCAGAATGCAACTACTCTTCACTTGGCTAACAGCTGCAATTTTGAAAATTTTTAAAGAAATCACAAAAACGTCTTGTAGATTCTTCTATATGTTGGCTGAATTATTTCAGAGTTCTCGAGAAAGGACATTATTCAGAAGGTTGATGAGAACAAAAAGTTCCTGCAAATATCCAAGTACTTCTGAATGTATAGTGGATAAATTTAAAGTAATTGTAAAATGGTTGCTTATGACTATTATCTCAATGACATAAAAAAGAAATATGTACTTTGCAAAAGTGTTGAAAATCTTTTTCTCTCTTTACCAACTTAAAAACATTTAATGACACTCTAAAAGGCCAAATTCCTCTTGCATAACCTAGGTCAGGGGTGGGCAATTAATTTCTATAGGGGGCCACATTAAAAATCTGAACTGTGTTTGGGGGCCGAACCAACTTTACTTAAAAATAAAATGAAACAGGGATGTTATGATTTTATTTTAAACTTGTTAATCTTCACAAATACTAAACAAGTTTTTTGCGGTATGTTAAAGATAAGCAACTGATCAACTTTAGACAAAAAGCTATAAATGGTTTTGATGTTCAACTTGTTCAGTGACAGAAATCCAGTCTGTCTTGGGCTTGAACAAGTGCTTGAACACCAGACTGGAGCGACGACTGGCGGGCCAGACAGGAGCAGCTTGCGGGCCATATCTGGCCCTCGGGCCGCACTTTGCCCAGGTCTGATCTAAGTGTTTGGGGGGATGATGTCATCTGCAGTGGCCCAATCCAGAATCCAAGTGGATAATTTTCCATTAGCAGGTCCTGCTTAGAAGCTATGAACTCTCATTGCACATGAGTCAATCATGTGGCTTTATACCCAGCCACTGGGACTTGTTTGCAGTTAATTATTAGGGTCACTTCTTGAATTCCAGGTCACACAACTGCCAGTGGTGTCATTTCCCCGGCACGGGCACAAGTTATGCAAGATTAGTTTGGCCTACAAATGCAATTTGTGGTAACCAGTTGCAGACCATATACAATTGCAAACTGCACCAACTGCCTTACATGGAAATCCACAATACAGCTCCGTCCCAAATGGCCTTAACCTGATCTTGGGGCTGGTACATGTGCTGCTTTTCTCATAAGGGCATGGCAATTGTGCAAGAACTGTACACATGTGTTTAACCTTACAAAGAGGCTGCCTTTTACTGGCCCATCTAGATCAGTTATCACACTGACCAACGGTGGCAACAGTCTTTCTCAGGTGGGGCAGGAACTGAACACAGGGCTTCTGCATATAGAGAATATACTTTACCACTGAGTTCTGCCCCCTCCAGCTCACATGGGCTACACTTGTGAGCACTTTGTCCAATGCACTTTCAGGTTTGTAAGCTGGTCACGTAGTCATTCCATGAATTGTTATAGCCTGTGGGTACTTGAGCTACTAAAATATGGATGTAAAAATAAAAGACTAACATGACTGCCTTTGGGTTATCTTTTCTTCCAGAAGATGTCTATTGTCATACACTCTTTTCATGGTGGTCAAAGAGAAAGGAAAGCAGTTATATTACAGACCTCTTGTAATGTACCTTTTGCTAGAGATTGGGGGGGATTGCCACCCTTAATGCAGGAAATGCAAGTACTAGGCCATTTCTAATATATGGCTATCCAGAAAGCTTTACCTATTAATTTCTCTTATTTTTTCCAATTGGTTTATATTAGAATAGGACTCCATAGCCAAAATCCTCCAGTTACACCAGAAAACGTTATGCAAAAAGCCAGCCTACTATGTTCCGTTTCATGTTTGTGTCTGAGAACACCAAAAACATCATTAATCAAAAATGCTGTGGGCTCTTGGCACTTTTTTTAAGTACTATCAAATCCCTTTATTTATTTATTTTTAGAGATAAAGAGGCTTATCTGTTGGATTCATATAATAAAGGAGGTTTGAAATTCATCTGAAGGCATTATGATTCTAATGTAACATTTAACATACCTTTTCATAATTTAACTGTTTATTGAATTAAAACAATTACAATTGTAACAATTTGACACAATACTACTAAAGAGTCATGTGTTAGTTCTAGTGCAGATGTTAGCTGTGCTCTGCCCTTCCTTCCACTTCCCTTTTTGTCACATTATATAAGAACTCTGCCACATTATATGTGACAAAAGAGGAAGTGGAAGGAAGAAGCAATGCAAAGCTAATCAGTACAGAGAATATGTCAGTACACTACTGTATTTTACAGAGTGCTGCATTTGGTCACTTAATAAATCATTGGCTGAAATCCTGGTGGGGGGGGGGATTATTTCATAAATTTCTGATTGATATCCACTTGTGTTCTGGTGCCTTTAGAAGCTTGAGTATTATCTCATGCAGTTTTGCATGTGGGTGGAGGTGGGGGGGGGCTACCAGTGGCAGTCCTGCCAGATCCTTGAGAGAATACTTGATTCCCCCAGATGTCTTACTTAGAGAGATTTATAGATCTCCTGGGCAAAGGTCAGAAGTCTATGTTTCATCAGAGCTGACAAATACCCCAGTAAAGGGTTAATCCCAGAATGAAACCAGACAATCATAGACAAGCATTTCCAAATTCATCTGGGTATCTAAGTTAAGTATACGGTGCATTATTTCTTTGTTACAATAATTTCAGGCAACTCAAATTGCTCAATTCCTACAAGCTTTTATTTCTCTACAATATTTTTATAGTATATAGTCTGTAACATAAAATCAATAGAGATGGGCATGAACCACTGGTTCAGCCATTCCTGACTATTCATTTCTTAGTCAAACAGTTGTTTGGCTCTTCAAAGCCCCACCTCCTCCAGTGGGCACCCACTCAGAGGTAGCACCTGAAGGAACCAGGACAGGGAAGCCCATCTCTAGTTCAGAGTTTTTATAACATCCACATCTTACCATTGTAAGAAAAACTGTAGGCACAAATGTTACAGTCCAAAGTCTTACAGTTAGGTAAAACTGTAAACATTCAAATACAAAACTGCTATTGTAGGTAGAATTGAATTCAGGTGGAATAAAATAGCTTAAAGGCAGAAAATACATCTCTATAACATTTCTTGGAAAAGCAAAAACATATGTTTTGAAAGCTGTAAAAGCTTTCTCACAAATAAGTGAAGAAATAGCAAATTTCTCCAAATGAAAAAGTAAAAAACAAAATGCATTGAGCTTCTAAGCATATTTTTAAGACACACAAAATCAATACAAAATATTACTACCCAACTTAGCCAGATTTCAAGTTGTGTAAAGTCCACTGTTGATTTTCTAGTGCTGCATAGATACCCCAGGTGCTGCTTTAACATTTGCCTGGAATCATTTTCATTCTCATGCTCTTTTTTCCTCCTTGACTTAAGTTGCCCTATACCTGTGTTTGATTTATTCCTCATATTTAGTATGTTCTGTGTTCTCACTAAAACCCAAACAATTTCC